TTAGAACTAAGTGGAACTCAGGCATTTGTGAGGCTTCTGTTTCCTTAGCTGGGGAGCTGGAGGCAGTGACCACCATAAAGCCGGAACTGAGCAGGTTTAGCAGCTTCTGTCCTGCCTGGGCTGCTGGCTGGGGAACAGCTAGACTCAGCTGTGTCAGATTGCTTTTCTCTCATCTTGAGCGGTGGTGAGCAGTGAAGTAGCCCCAAAGAGAGCCATAGGGAGGATGATGTGGAGAATGGTGTCTCTTCAGTTTTCGAGAGCTGACACATGTGGGTGTGACCTTTGGTTCTGTCCTCCTTTGTTTGGTAACAGAGTCAGGGCGCTGGATTCCTCATGGTAAAAGCTGGTGTGATCACTGGGGTCAGGACTCTGTTCAGTGTGAGATACTGAGCCAGCTCAGATGGGAAGAGGTGTTTATCATCCACAGAAACGTGTCCTAGTAACCTCAGGACAGGAGCCTGGTGAGAGGTGGGCCTTGTAGGAACTGGACTAGAAAGGTAAGAGTGGCGTCCATCTCTCTTCTCCCTCCTGGCTTCCCTGCTGTCTTTCCCCTGTGCATAATTGTCCAGTGTGAGTGTCTCTATGTCCTCTAGATTTTAAAGTAGAAGCCCATTGGCTCCATTTCTTTTTGAAATCATTCATTTCCAACGTCCTGGCAGAATTTGTAGAAGCCAACTCTGGTCCAAGAGGCCACCTGGGTTTGTGGATGTGTTTACCCTGTCTCCTACAGAGCCTTACCTGCATCTTCCATTTTCCTAGAGCCTCAAACAGACTCTGGTTTCTGTAAAAAGAATTTTTTTTAAGTCAGAAGAACTTCTTTGGGCCACGCAATCTCTTCCAGCAGAACTTCAAGCCAGCTTTCTGCCCTGTGCTGTTCAAAACGCTGGCTTTCTAACCATTTATCAAAAGGTGCCAGAATATGTAGAGGCTCATGCCAAAATAGGAATTGGCTGTGTGTTGAGCAAATTTGGCTGACATTTTTTTCCATGGTAAAACTCTCAATGAAGGAAGCAGCGTGTTCACTTACATTCTGGCACCAAGCTCCTCTTTCCACAGTTTGCAGCCGCGCTCTGGTGCGCATCTGCGTGCTCATCCAAGTCCCAACTCCTCCTGCCAGGGCTGCTGCTTTGTCCTCAGCTCAGTCCTCACTGCAGCAGTGATCTTCCTGGTACTCTTGGTCCCTGTGATCCCACAGTCTCTCTGTGTCTCTTCTTCACCCCTGGTCTGTTCAGGTCTCCTGGTCTCACTGTGAGGGTGCCACAGGCAGGGCCAAGCCCTGAACCGTGCTCTAGGTCTCCCTTGCTGTGGCCATCTTACCTGGTCCAACAGCCCACAACTCCAACCACTGATCTGCAGCCCAGACCTACTCCTAACGCACTTCCAGCTGCCCTCTGGATGTCTCCATGGTAATGTCCACATGGATAGGTATGAGCAGAGTGTTTCCTGTGCTTCCTAGAATCTGTTCTTCTCCCTTGCTCCTCCCTGTGTCCATTCTCATCTCATGGGATGCCTGAGTGCTGGGACCTGACTGGTTCTGCTCTGTCTACGGTTCCCCTCCTCCCACGTGTCCAGTCGACCACTCCGGGCTCTAGGATGATCAGCTCTTGCAAGACATGTTTGCAAGATGTATTGGTTCAGTAGAGGATTCCTTCAGATGGACCCCAGCCCATCTAGGGACCTGCCTGTGACCCCAGATCTGACTCATTCTCAGTGCCCCCTTTCTTCACTCTGCATGTTTGAGCCATTGGTGAGGCCTGACAGACCTCCAGGGAAGAACTCCATCTTCCTCTCTACCATACCGACCTGCCCAAGCCACAACTACCCACTCTCAAAGATGTTCCTCCCCCAGGATCCATGCCCCACTGACTAGACAGAGGGAACCTTCTGGTGTCAGGCCCTCAAATATTTTGTGCTGCTCTTGAAAATAAACCCATCTCCCTTCCGTGGCCCAAGGAACCCTACCACACCTGGCTGTGCCACCCCAGATCACCTTTGCCCCTCTCTCCTCATTCTGCAGTGAGCCAGCCCCTTCCTGTCTCAGGTCCTCTTCCTCTTCCAGGTGTGTTTCCCAGCTATGTCTTTGCTGCCCCTTTCTCCCAGGGTTTCCCCTCTGTCATGATCCTATCAGAGATGCTGTCCCTCATTGTTCCCTGCTTCTCAGGTGAGTAAGAGCGGGGATGCTGCCCATCACAGACCAAAGAATGAAAAGTTCTCTCTGTATGTTTTTAAAATCCTGAACAGACCTACACCATCCCCAGCAAGGCAAAGCCTTCTCCCCTCACACCCCTAAATCCTCCAGGAACTGCTGAATGCATACAGGTGTTGAGAGCTGAGGGTTACTGTGGTTGTTGCCTTTGCATATCAGCGGTGTATGTTGGAGGAAGTAGGCAGCAGCTAAAGGAGGGGGATGAAGCCAGGCCCAGTACTGTTAGCTAGAGCAGCTGAAGTGCTTGTTAACTCTGGTTTCACACCCAGCCTGGTCCTAGGTGCTGCCTACCAGCCATGAGTACCCTGTGGGAGACCATTCACTCCACAGAGAGACTGCTATGAGCCACAGTGCTGCCAGTGGCTTTTTAAATGAAGTCATAGCAGGAAAAGAGTGGATCACATGATCCTGTGCCTTGCTCTGTTAGAAGCACTGGGTTTACTGTTTACAGACTGGGTGACAGGTTTGGTGCTTGGTTCCCCTACTGCAATGGTACTACTAAGGCCTGTCACCTGGCTGGGGTCAGGTCCAGTGGTGTCTTCTCTCCAGCCTCCCTTCCTTGAGTTATACAGCCATGGCTTTCCTCTCACTAGGGTCTTGTGATCTCAGGTACCACCTTTGTGGTCCTCCCACTCCTTCAACAATTGGCTTTACTGTAAAGAGAAGAGGCTTATTTGAACTAACAGTGTTGGAAGTTTCAGTCTACCTTGTATGGGGGGAGCAGGTCCCCCCACCCTTGCCCTCAGGCCTCTCCAGTGAGAGGTACCTCATCATAGGTAGGAGGTGGTACATCGTGGTAGGAACATGTGGGGATAGCAGTGCTGGTCACTCAGCAACAGGCAGAGGAATCATAGGGCTGGGGTCTCAGGATCCTCTGTGAGAGCGGGCATACCCATCAGTGACCTGAGTGCCTCCTGCTCAAGCTCCCTCCTATAAATCCCCTACCTCCTGTAGCACTGTGAACTGGGCATGGAGCCTAGCTTGTTGATGGAAATTATACTTTTGCTTACATGGGGTTGCCTTGAACTTTAACATTTGCTTTTGGCTGGCATTGCATAATCTTAGCCCAGTTCCACCAGTCTCATGTGTAATGAGCTCTGCAGATGGCACGTGATTATAGACTGTCAGGATTCATGTAGGACCAGAGGAATGCTAAGAAAGCAGGAGGATACCAAGATCTTTCCTGACTTGGAACCAGTATTTTGCCACCTAATCTGGCCACTCTTAAGTGTACATGTCACCTTCCTCATGCCCATGGACAGTCCTGAACACAGATAAAGATGTGTTTGGCATAATGATGTCTTTGTTAGAGGGGTGTTGGTATACAGTGCTCTTTGCTTTTTAACTCCATGTTCTCTCATAGGATGTTACAATGGGCACCAGTCTGTCCTATCTCAGCCCATCCTACCCTCCCTCCTCTGCATTTGAAGAATGACCTACTTGCTATAGGAGTAGAAGGTAGCTGTGGGCATATTGAGCCCAGGCATGGATAGCACATGGGAGCTGGTGATGCCACAGAGGCAGGGGGTACAACTGTGTGTCTCCTGGGGCAGGTGTGGTGGCTGGCCTTGCCAGTGGAGGTGATGCGGGCTGTGACTCCCATGCCCCAGAGGCTGAGCTTGACTGCACAACATCTTTTATCCTGTCCATTTCTGGATTTTCTGGTAGCATCTGTAAGATACTAAAGGCTTTAAGTGAACTTCTCAATTTAAGTCAGCCAGTCTGTTTTTGTAGCCTTAAACAAAGATGCAAACTTTTATGAAGAGATTACTCTATAGTTATTATTATAAGGTTATATTCATCCCCTAGACCTTTGAGCACCTCCATAAGCCACAGAATTGATCAGAGAGAATCATATTAAATGGTTGGTGGTGAGACCCAGATTTTAGGCCTCAGGCCCCAAGTCTTGGATTTCTATATGGTCTGCTGGCCGCAGCCTGCACACACCAAATAGAGACCAGGAGTGGTGATGAGCAGAGAAAGGAGTCTGATTACACAGCAGGAGCCACTGTAGGAATACGCAAGACAGCATTTCAGCCCTTTTTGGGCCATCTTTGGGGTACAGATATTAGAGTTAGGTTTAAATAGACAACTAGAGTAAGTGGTGAGAGGATCACATAAACAGTCACAGATATGTTCAGGAGATCATTATCTGAGTCTTTGTTTGGAGAGGAGTTCTAGAGAATTCATTCCTGCTGTCCAAATATGCCAGCCATGGCTCCCTGTGGTTTGCTATTTCCTTTTGGGAGGGGTGGTTTCCTTTCTCCCCTGTCATTGCACACGTTATCCAAAAGACCTATCCTTTCTGTTTTCGAGGGTGATTGCAAAGTAAGTGTAGAGAGAACAGCTCAGAACAATGGACACAGATGCAGAATGGAGGCAGAGATGCCCAACTTTTCTCCCCTTCTTCATTAATTTGTGGGCCCAAATAGGAAGTCAGTGCTTTTCAGTGACAGCAACTTTTTAAGTACCTATTACAGTGGTACTCCGGGCCCAGACAGTCTCTTGCCCTGTCCATTTCCCTGCAGCCCATCACAAACCCTGCAGCATGAGCAGCCGTGAGGACAGAAGCAGTCCTCCAGTACTAGCCTCGGGTCTCTGAGTGACAACCAACACATAGGAGATGTGCTGCAGGGTGGGGGTATTGGAGGAAGGGTGAGATATTGCCTTTAGGCCTCATGTGATCTCTCCTGTTCTTAGCCCTGTTTTATAAGTTGCATGTAGTTTTCCTGCTACATTTGCCTTTCATTTTGTCACTCCATTTTTTTCATAATCATGGCGATTCTCCTTCCAGGAGTTTCCCCTGCATTGACAGAGAGCTGTGGCCTTTCGTCCAAACAAGCCCGGTCCCCGAGGAAAGATGCGGCAGCTCAAAGGGAAGCCCAAGAAGGAAACATCCAAAGACAAGAAGGAGCGGAAGCAGGCCATGCAGGAGGCCCGGCAGCAGATCACCACAGTGGTGCTGCCCACACTGGCTGTGGTCGTGCTGCTCATCGTGGTATTTGTCTATGTGGCCACCCGTCCTGCCATTACCGAGTGAGCGCCCTGCCACTGTGGACTCCATGGGCCGCGGGGGGCGGGGGGGAGGGGCGGGAAGCAAAGGAAAATGGCTTTCATACGCAGAGATGTTCACGATGCTGAGCTCCAGGCAGGGGCGCTCTGTCTTCTCCGGTTTTTGACTTGATTAAAGTGTCTCCACTTTTCTTGGGAGGGAAGAGGGAACATTTTATTGGTGAATGTGCCATGCACCTATGGTCCACTTCATGTGCCTTTCAGACTTCAGAGTAGTGTGTGTGTGTATGTGTGTGTGTGCCCGTGTCTGTGTCTCCTGAAATCAATATGTAGCTCCACCCGGTGAGAAGAGGCCTCTGGGTCATGAAGCGGCTGGAATCAGTACTTACCCATCCCCATTGTTTGGACCATTACACGTTTTGACATGTGTTCACAACTTCCAAAGGGACTAATTCCACTCTGTGCTTAATGTGATTTGAAATATGTTGACTCAAAGTGAAATATTTATTTTTTGAATAAAGGAGATAATAGCCTTATTATCTGGTGGTTGATCTGTTCTTTCCAGGAAGGCTGGCTGCATGTGGATCCCTTTCCAGGGCATCACCCCTCTTTTCCACACACTTGTCTGGCTCTCCCCAGGCCTGGCACTTGCAAGAGTATGGTACACTTTGACTGGATCATTTTAAGATTGAGGGGAGAAGCTAGAGAAGGTTAGAAGAGGAGCCTTCACTGACTAGCTTTAGCAAAGTGAGATTTATGATTGGAGTAGGACCACAAATTGTATACCAGTTAATCTTTCCTATACTCCACAGGATTTGTGAATTGAAACACACAGGAGTTCCGACAGTAAAGGTCAGGCTTGGTTTTGTCCTTCGTTGAAAATATGTGAACTGTTGGCATTCCAGATGAGATTTCAACACAAATTGCCTTGCTAAATGAGGCTGCCTCATTTTATTCTAGCCGTATGGTTCCCAGGGCCTGGTCTCTGATGGAGCAGCCTCTTTAGAAGTTGCGTTGGTGGTGACTGTAGTGAAAATGGCTCTTTACTTTGTCACTGCTCATCTGCACAGAAACTTGTGAGAATACTGTGACTGCAACTAGCTCATCGATGGCACAGACTGTTAATAAAGATGTGGACACTAGGAGTAAATCTCAGGAGAACAAAGGAAGTTCTCCAGAGTATGTTGAGAGACCTCAGATTGAGCAGTCTTCAGTGACAGTGACCCTGTAAAGAAACTCACTAAACTATGTATCAATTCAGGTGCCCTTAGCATAAAGTTGCTCTTAGGGGTTCTATCTCTTCCCCTGCACACGTGTGTATGTGTGTGTGTGTGCGTGCGTGCACGCACATGCGCGTGCACATCAGTTCTGGGGCTTGAGTTCTGGGTTTGAGTGCTGTCTCTTAGCTTGCTCACTCAAGTTGGAGCTCTTCCACTTGAGTCACACAGCTCCACTTTCAGCTTTTTGCTGATTAATTGACGATAAGAGTCTTATAGACTTTCCACCTGGACTGGCTTCAAACCAGAATTCTCAGATCTTGGCCTCCTGAGTAGCTTAGAGGCATGAGCCACTGGTACTTGGTTCTCCCTTCCCTTTACTTGGTTCTATCTTGAACTTCTGTGTTTGGTGGTCTGGGAAAAGCTAAGAGCCACTGCTCTAAGAACCTGCATGTTGGAAGGAAGCTTCTGTAGCTACCCCTGTCCCAATCTGCAGCTGTGGGATACTGGCTGTGCCCTCCAACAAGGGTGGAATGATGATAGAACAGGGAGAAAGGGCCCACCATCATAAGCATGTTTTGTAATTGCTTGTTCTGTGTTTAGGTCCTGGCCTATCACTCTGAATTGTGATTACCTAACCAATCCCACCAAACATCAGTTTCTCTCCAAGTAGTAGAAACAAGTTTTCTAGGAAACCTGAGTTTGTGTGCAGATTTTGCTGCCAGAATGCAGAGCCCACTTTCTCTTGAGCTTGCTCATCACATGGCTGGGAGGCCCGTATTAAAATAGTGCATTTGTAAAGCCCAATCTAGTGTCTGGGTTCATGGCTCCAAAAATGACCGTGGTAGCTTGGCGTTTTGCACTTATTTCTCCCACACCTCTCCGAGGCAGGTGCTGTTGCACTCAGTTTTACAAAGAGGGAGCTAGTGCACGCTGGGGAACGTACCCGTGTTACACAGCAAACCTAGATTGGCTTGTTTCTTCAGCTTTGGTTGTGGGAGATTTCAAACATAAAAAAATAGTGTGCCTCATGTACTCATTGGCTAGTGTTAGCAAACACTCATGGCCACACTTCCTCCCCCACCCCTCCCAGACACCCCATGTGCAAACACAAAGGATGATTTTGAGGTGACACAGGAGAAACCCACACAGACTTAGCTCTAAAATGTTCACTGTTAAATTCACTTGCTTTTCAATGAATGTGTCTAGTGCGTGTGAACAGGCTCTCTCTGGTCATAGTAAACAACCTTACATGCCATCTTTAGAAAAATCTACCTTCTCTACTGGATATCTACTACAGAACACAATCTGGGCATTGCTTGGTAAAAGAGGAGTCCCTTGCCCAGGGCTCGTGGCCTCCTGCCTGGGGTCCTAGCCAGCTGAGGCAGAAAAGTCCATGAGACTCTTTTATCTCCAATTAGCCACCAAAAAGCCAGAAGTGAACTCTCCCTCTTTGCACATGATATGATCCTATATTTAAAGAATCCCATAGACTCCACTCCCAAGTTACTCGACCTGATCTAAAACTTTGGCAAAGTAGCAGGGTATAAAGTTAACCCTCAAAAATCAATGGCTTTTCTGTATGCCAACAATGAGAAGAGCAAAGCTGAAAGAGCAAGGATAGCAACTCCTTTTGTAATAGTCCCTCCCCCCAAAAAAATATGTAGGAATTAACCAAAGTGAAGGACCTCTATGAGGAAACTTTAAAAACCTGAAAAAGGAAATAAAAGCAGAACTAAGTGGAAAAACCTCCCATGCGCCTGGATTGGGAGGATTAACCTGAAAATGGCAATACTCCCAAAGGCTATCTACAAATTCCATGCAAAACCCATCAATAGCCTAACCTCATTCTTTAATGAAATAGTGAGAGCAATCCAAAAATTCACATGGAACAAAAAAGACCCTGAATAGCAAAAACAATCCTTAGCAGAAAGAACAGGAGGAATATCAATACTAAACTTGAAACTCTACTACAAAGCTGTAGTAATAAAAACTGGCACAAGAACAGGTCTGAGGACCAATGGAATAGAACTGAAGACCCAGAAATGAACCCACAGACCTATGGCCACCTAATCTTCGATAAGGGAGCCAAAAAAATAGGATGGAAGAAAGACAGCTTCTTCATAAATGGTGCTGGCAAAATTGGTTAAAACTAAAAATGTAGAAAACTAAAGTTAAATCCTTATATTTCACCCTGTACCAGAATCAATTCCAAATGGATCAAAAACCTTGAGGTAAATGCAGATACCCTGAAAATATTACAGGAAGGAATAGGAGAAACTCTAGGGTCCCTTGGCACAGGCCAAAATTTTCTTAATAAAGATCCAGAAACACAACCAAGATACAGAACATTATAAGGGAATACTTCTCAAAACTTTATGCTAATAAGTTTGAGAACTTGACAGAAATGGACCTTTTCCTAGCAAATATTGACATGCCAAAATTAAACCAAGATGAGTTAAACCATCTTAACAGGCCCATATCAAGCATTGAAATAGAAACAGCAATAAGAGACCTTCCAGCTAAGAAAAGTCCAGGACCAGATGGTTTTACAGCGGAATTCTACAAGGCCTTCAAAGCTGAGCTCACACCAATACTACTCCAACTCTTCAATGAAATTGAAAGAGAAAGCTCACTACTGAACACATTCTATGAAGCCATCATAACCCTCATCCCAAAACCAGGCAGGGACTCATCAAAGAAAGAGAACTATAGACCCATTTCTTTGATGAACATTGATGCAAAACTTCTCAATAAAATTTTGGCCAATCGACTTCAACAATTCATCCAAAAGATCATACACCATGATCAAACAGGATTCATTTCAGGGATGCAAAGCTGGTTCAATATACTCAAATCAATTAATATTATTCATCACATCAACAGGAGCAAGAATAAGAACCACATGGTTATCTCAATAGATGCAGAAAAAGCATTCAACAAGATCCAACACCCCTTTATGATGAAGGTTTTGGAAAAATTAGGAATCCATGGAACATTCCTCAATACAATAAAGGCTGTATATGACAAACCTACAGCCAGCATTATACTCAATGGTGAAAAACTAAAGCCATTTCCTCTTAACTCAGGAACAAGACAAGGATGCCCACTCTCTCCACTTCTCTTCAATCTAGTATTAGAATGCCTAGCTACAGCAATAAGACAAGATGCAAACATAAAGGGGATCCAAATAGGGAAAGAAGAAGTAAAACTCTTCCTCTTTGCAGATGACATGATCTTGTATTTAAAGAATCCCATAGCCTCCACTCCCAAATTACTCAAGCTGATTCAAAACTTTGGCAAAGTAGCAGGGTATAAAATTAACCCCCCAAAATCAATGGCTTTTCTGTATGCCAACAATGAGAAAAGTGTGGCTGAAATTAGGAAAGCAACTCCATTTGTAATACCCCACAAAAAATAAAATACCTAGGAATGAACTTAACCAAAGAAGTGAAGGACCTCTATGGTGAAAACTTTAAAATCTCGGAAAAGGGAAATCAAAACAGAACTTAGAAACTGGAAGAAAGACAGCCTCTTCAGTAAATGGTGCTGGCAAAATTGGTTAACTACAAAGCTGGATCCTTATATATCACCCTGCACCAGAATCAACTCCAAATGGATCAAAGACCTCGGAGTCAAAGCAGACACTGAAAACATTACAGGATGGAATAGGAGAAACCCTAGGTCTCCTTGGCTCAGGCCGAAATTTTCTGAATAGAGACCCGGAAACACAACAAATCTAAGAAAGGTTGGACAAATGGGATTGCATTAAACTGCAGAACTTCTGCATGGCAAAGAACATAGCTAGTAAGATCAATAGAAAGCCCACAGATTGGAGAAGATCTTCACTAGTCATACAACAGAAAAGGGCCTCATATCTAAAATATACTTAGAACTCAAAAAATTAAATCTCCCAACAACAAATCCTCAAAGGAACAACTGCCCCATTAATAAGTGGGCTAAATACTTAAAGAGAAACTTCTCTGAAGAGGCAGTAGACATGAAGAAATGCTCAACATCTCTGGCCATAAAAGAAATGCAAATCAAAACAACATTGAGATACCACCTCACCCCATTTAGAATGGCTATAATCAAGAACTCTAATGACAACAGATGCTGGAGGGGATGTGGCCAAAAGAACACTATTACACTGTTGGTGGGAGTGTAAACTTGTTCAACCATTCTGGAAAGCAATATGAAAGTTCCTCAAAAGACTCCACGTAGAGCCCCCCCTATGATCCAGCAATCCCACTCCTTGGCATTTACCCAAATGACCACAAATAAGGCCATATTAAAGCTATCAGCCTAACCATTATTAT